CTTGACCAAATCATTGCACAGCTGGAACGATTCTTACGTATTATTTTATTTATGTTTCAAAATAACGTCATATAATCCTAGCACGAATACAAAATTAATGTAACAAGTATAATATTTTATTTTTAATGTTATTTCGACTTACCAGATAACTTACCACGTAATAACGAGGAAAAATTCGCGTCAAATTTCACCGAAATGAAATCGAACGCTCGAAGAATTTATATTCTTTACCCTGCTACATCCTTTATATCGCACTTGTCGCGATATAAATTCGATCGCGAGTCCCTTTACGTCTTGAGTAATATCAGAAAAGTTTCCACCTCTTTTCGCTCGACTTAATGGCCCGTGAGCCTGTCTTAATTCAGTTGGATATTCAAATCGGGTGGTTCCACCGGTCGGTAGGTTGCATTTTAAGCTGACTGGACCGAATTACGGTTCTGCTCGATTCTTGGAATTTCTCCTTCTTATTTCGTCCATTTCTTTCTTCCTTCCTTTTCTTCTTCCCCCCCCTCCCCCTCCTTTTCTCTTTGTTCTCCGCCACGTTCCATCTTTCAGAATCGTTTTATCTGATCGGCCGCCCCCGGCTATTCATCTTCGAGCAACCGTGGTGCTCGTCCGGGGATAAAATTGGAATTATGCTAAAATAAAACTCCCTTGGACCCGTTGGAAAGGTGATTAGTAACTAACCGATAAAGCGTCGCCTGTTTGATCGATGGCTCGACAACGGGAGAGATATCGAATTTAACGGGTATCAATTTTTCTTGTCGCGTGTGAACGAATGACTGTTTATCGATCGGTGTACTATGGAATTCTATGGGTATTTCTCGTGTCGAGGGTGTGTTGACTTTAAGTAAATTTAGTTAGTGTTTCGACGAATGACGAAAATTATATTTGAATTTTGTTTGGAAAGTAAGTTTCAATTAAAATTATTATTTAACGTACGTTTTAATGATTTTAGGAAATTTTAATTGGCAAGATTTAAGTTATGTGTAAAAATATTATAAATTTGTAATTATTCTCTTTTGTTAAATAATCGACTTCGTGAACTTTGTGGAGTTTGGCAATTTAGATATTTCAACATCGACCGTTCTAGTTCTACCAAAATTTCGTAACAATTGTGATTGAGTATACTATAACTTGATGTCCCTAGGCTAACTGACAAGCTTTGCTCTATATTCCCAGGCTAGCATAATTCCTTTGCATAATTAATTTGCACGATTGCTTTGATATACAATGATAATTTCATCACTGTTGTCAAATTTATGTTTGCACTGTCAAATGAATTCTAAGATCTGTAATTCTATTTATTTATAATTTATTATTATATATCGATTTCTGCAAATTCTCTTAATTTAATTTTTATAATACTTTTGGCGCCCTTTTTATTATCACATATTTATACGTATAGTTATTCTGTATATTTAACAATAACATATTGCTGGCCAAACAGAACGATTGTATAAAAATCGAAAAAAGAAATTAAATATTTTAAAATTTACATACTTTTGTTTATATTTTCTCTCTTGACTCTTTCAATTGTAACAATGGACAAAGTATAAAATATTTATAAAGATATCTATCATTTTGATTCCCAATTTTTCGTAGAAAAGTATCAATTCCTTCGTAATCGAAAGCTATGACTATTTACGTGTAATCAAGTTATTTTCATAATATATACAAGACTCTGTTAAAAATTTTCGAAACGAGGATATTACTTTCATAATATAAATGATAGAACGATAAAGCGAATCTCGATATAAATTTTCTAAAACAAGATGTACACGTCTTTGGAATTGTTCATTTTTCATTATTATATTGTACAATGTATCTTTATCGTTGTTTGATAACTTTTCTCGAGCAATTTAGATATAAAAAGGAGCGTGAACGGTGTTGAACGCTCGCGTGCTGATACGATATTAAATCTTCGAAGAAAAACTCTTTTTCGAGCATGCATGTTCTATTATAGATCCTGTCACGATGCACGCGTTTGAAATGATGCGTGAAAAGAGTCATCGATCATCGTCTAAAAGTCGTGGCTGATCGGTAAAGTTAAGCCGCGAATAAATACCTTTTTGATCAATGGTGAAGGAGAAAAAATTTAATTTAAAAAAAGGAAAATAAGTAAAAAGAAATATAAGTTATGAGAATTATAGGTATAAAATTTACAAGATATATTATTTCAAAAATTTTTTGGATTCAATGGTCAAAGTTTCCGTTTATTTTTCAATCGTCCTCGGATTTTTCATCTTTGAAAAAGATTTAATTCCTTAAATTGTACTAAAAGTTTTCTCAATTTTGCGAATAGATAGAACTTGCGATATTATAACGAAGAAAAGAACTCCTGAGACAATCTAACAATTAAGTAATCCAAGTTCAAATACTCTCGTCTATAAATATATATATGTTTATAATAATGCATTTAAAACTTGGAGAAAAAATTTTAAAACAGACAAATTTAAAATACCTTTCTAACGCTTTATGTAACTCTTTATGTGCCAAGAATAATTGATAAATCGAAGAAGATGACATGTGAACAAATCAAAGCAGAATTATAATTTTCGAACGTCCAAAAAATCTTTAAAAAGAATCGAAAAGAACTTTCGGGACCAACGATTAAACTTCAAATACCACAACTTCTAAACGTGGAAACAAATTTTCAAGACAGACTTTCGTCCAACTTTCCACAACGCATGAAATAATCCTGTGCACACAACAAGAGAATAATTGATGGATACATTCGGTGCAATTCTTAAGATTCATGTCCCCCGGGGGGATGGCGAGGCCAACGATTTGGCAGCCTCGAAACGACTTCAGGCTCGAAGTAAAAGGATGACCCAATATATGGGGGAAGAAACTGTTCGTGGAGGAGGTTGCAACTTGGAAATGTGAGAAATGCGAGAGGACAGCGCGATGGAAGGCTGGGATGAAGTACGGGAGGAAGGAGAAGGTCGGTGAACGGATTGCACTGGGGGGTCGTGAAAGGATGGCGGCTCCTATTACCGAACTTTTAAAGTGTCTTCGAGCAATATTGTCTCCGCGATGCAAGATGGAACGCCGCCATTCCGTTCTCTTTCTCCACGGCCGCGATGGTTTCGCTCGTGTTCACCGCCATCGGCATTGCATCCGCGTACACCGCGCTTGATCCTCTTCCTCTGGGCAATGTTTCACGCCTCTTTTGTCTTCTCGACGCTCGTTTCCCTGGCTACCCTACTTCCACGCCAAATGGATCGAATTATTTCGGTGCCGTGCCCTGCTTTTAATAATATTGCGTGCAAAGTATAAAAGTTTTTAGGTTCTACGCTTTCTTTTGCTTTCTTGCTTTAATCCTTTTTGATTGTAAGGTTGCTGATTCGGAATCATAAATTCGATTTAAGAATTTAAGAATTAATATATACGAATATTTAATTAATTATTTGATAATTAATCACCTGTGACTTGAAGTTTTGTTTGAATTTAACGTAGAAGATAAAATCTTCCATAATCTTTTGATATGAGTTTTATAAAATACGTTCTAAACAACCTTTTTTTATAATTTATTACAGGGAATAATTAATTTGACCAATGCGAAATTAGACGATTTATATTCGTACGATTTCTTCGAGTCCACTTGCGAATAATTTATTAATCGCATCATCTCATCACCCCCCTCGAAATTATTCATAATTATTGTCCGAATCATTTTGAATCACAAAGCAATAATTCTTCCATTCCATAAAACAATCGAAAATTAAGGGGAAGAAAAATTAAAAAAATCCTGGCCAAATTAAATGATCATTCAGAATCTAATCTCCATCCGTTTTTCACTCGATTTCACCAAGCGTCGCATGCTTCAGCCCGATCATCGAATTTAGAACCGTTTCAGAAGGTAGGACAGGAAAGGATGTTCGCAAAGTGGCAGTGAGTTATCGCTTCAGAGAAGCAGCCGTCGGCGAGGTTTTGTCCCATGAGAATCTGAGATGCGCACAACACGTATCATGTATGCGTGCGTGTGTGTGTGTGTGTGTGTGTGTGTGTGTACACGCGCTGTGGATTCGTGTACGTAGGAGGATCAAGATCCCCATCCTGAGCACGTACACGCATCCGCCTATGGTATTTGCTCGCTGTCCATTCTGCGGCTTGACATGTACATGCACTTCTGGATGCGACGAGAAAGAGAACTTGCTACCAAAAAACTGCTGGCAAACGCGGACAACGCGAGAAAGCTTCTTCGCGTGAATGCGATGAAAGATCAGATCAGACCTGCTTCCTCCTCTTCTTCCTCGAGAAACTTGCGAATTGTCGACGCTCGTTCGTTGAATTTTTGGTAATTTTCGGAATATAGAAAGTTGGGCCAGTGATGGGTGGACCACGTATGCGAAATTTAAATTTTTATGAATGCGGGGAAGGAAAAAGGGAAATGAAAATGTATCTCGCCTTTTGAATATGTACTTTGGCTTGGATATTTTTGCTTTCTGCGTTGCTGTGCGAGTTTTAGGATTTTTTGTACGGTTCAAGTTTTCCACTCGTAGTTGGGCGATAAGATAGGATCAAACGGGAACGAATGTAATCAGAATTTTTAAACACTAATTTGAGCAATGTTTTTTGGTTTTCTTTTTTTAAAATTTTGTTTTAACGCGTGAAATATCATTGCACGCAAGAATTATCTTTCTTTTATGTCAATTTCTTTTTTTTAATAGGATCGATTTAAGGGGAATTTAGAGAATGTATTTTTGATGATTACGAGTGGAAAATATTATACTTCTATTTGGACTTTAATTTCAAGATATTCTGATGTTTTTTTCAAGGGTAATACATATCATCGATAAAAAGTTAATAACAGAGATCTGATTACATTCGTAGTGGAATAGTCGTCTGTTTAAACTTTACTTGATCATTTTTCTAATTCATTAAATATAGCACTTTTTTTAAATCGATAAATAAATTTTTTTACAAATCAAACCGTACAATTTTAAAAAATCACACATAATTACATATATTAACCTACCATTTTTAAAATATTTCTAAATAATTTTCGAAATTACGAGTTTCCATTTTCAAACTGCGAAATAATACAGTTTGAACGTGTATATAGCATATGACAAGGAAATTAGGCTTACGGGAGATGAGCATTATTCCGTCTATTAGGATTACCTACTGTACGTATTATGTCATGGGTTTATGATACGTTAATCAGTATTGACGATCAAGAGGGTTAGAATCACGAGGGCAACAGAGGCAACGAGAATTATTAGGTTTAGACGATTTTCAAACCGCAACTGGTTTCAATCGCAAGTTGAATGGTTCATGAAATTGTAAGTTTCAAATATTCTTCCGGATAACGTGAATGTCTGTATTGTAAGTTTCGCCTTTAAGGTTCAAACAGACTCTCCTCGAGTATTCAGGCCACGACTCCATTCTATGTTCGATTGCAGCCTTGGAAATGTATTGTGCGATATAATGCTGTGGTTGAATGTTTTGGAAGACCTGTAAAGTGAATTGAGAAACTAAATAAATTTCAGTGATTTCATTTAAAGGAAACATAGTATTATTATTTTATTACAATTTTCTGTTGATAAAAGTTTCGTTGTGCGATAGCAGAATGAAATTTATATTACATTTGAGATTTAACATTAAACAAATAGTCAATATTAGTTAGAGGATTGTTTGGAATATGAGATACGGGGGCCACACGCACGGACGGGGTTTCCACGAGGTATCCCAGAAATAACGATGCGTTCAAATTTTGCAAACTCATCGTGGTAAAATTATTACGTACTTTATTAGTAAAATAACTATGATTATTTTCAAAATTGAGAAACATTTAAACCAATATTCTTTTTGAAAATGATGTTCTACAACAATTATTTCTGATTATTATCATTATTATGTCGTTAAATTGCCTTTATTTTTGAAAACAAAGAATAGAGAATTATTTCATCAGTTTCATTTCTCGAAAGAAATCAAAGAGAGATTCTAAAAACTAAAAAAAGTAGAAAAAGTTACGATAATTCAATTTTCATGTTATATTTTTAGAAGTTTTCGTACTTACGTTACAATACGTGTTTTTTCCCAAGAAAAATAAGATTCGAAAAGAAGTTCTTGGCAATAATCCCAACATCCTCGGTAGTCACCCTATCGAACCAATTATGAAACTGGATCCTCGCTGTTGGAAAGTATGAAATTGATCGAATTCTTACAAGGTGTCGTAAAGTTTTCCAACAAGGGGGAGGGCACTAATGTCGAGATTTAAACGATTGACAGACAATTTCCGGGCGGATAGCGACAATAAAAGAATCGTTAATCGATATTTGAGGCTTGGTAGAACGCGTGCTTCGCCCGGCTCGGATTTATATGGAGCATCTAGCTGAATTTCGGCCACTCGAAGTCGATCGAGAGATAACTCGAACCGTGATGGATTTACTGCGGCGTTGAAGAGCCAAACTTTTGGATTACACACGGCTTTGTGGGTTGCGCGAAGTTTATTTGTGTACCCTCCCCGCCACCGGTGTACTTTGAACAGAGAGATCCCCGGCAGTTCGTTGAACGACAGACACTTCGAATATTCGCCGATATGAATTTTCGAGCTTTTCGAACTGATTGACGCGATATTCGTTTTTCGCTGGATTCGTCTGGAAAATTTATATCGAATTAATATAGGGAATTAGGAAACGTTATAAGTTGAAATGAAATGAGAAAGAAATTTGTGCCAGAAAAAAAATATAATATGGAAGCATAGATGTTATGATAATGTTGTGGCAATTATTACGATTTATTATATCGCATAAATGCCACGACTCTATAATTTAAAAATTGTGATTCTTGAGGAGAACAATTTTGAATAAGAAAAATAAGAAAATATGAACTTCGAACATCGATTTAACAATTTTTACTATTTTCGAAACCGCATGTTTTAAATCACATAATTTTTACACCAAGCGAAAATGAATTTCATATTCGTTCCACGAGACGATTAAAATTAAAAATGACTAAAAATTACGAACACCGTAGAATGAAATATATAAGAAGAATTGCAATATTAAATGAAAAGATATAATGGAATGACCAACCTTGGGCGTTAATTAGAAGTAATACAAAATACAGAAGAAAATCCTGGTGATAAAATTCCAATTAATGTTTCAAGCACGGAAGACGTAAAATCAGATCCAGCAATTCGGCCATTAGACCCTGACAATTCGTAGCCATTAAATTCGGGCGTTAATTTGAAAATCAACGTAACTTTCCATTATTAAGTGGCACAATCCGTCCTTTACAACGTAATAACCTATTTTATACTCCTTTTATTGCCTCTTTTATGTTCGTCCCCCGCCCATCCCAGGGGATACAAATTTACCGGCTATTCGAATTTCATCAGCAACACACAACCTTATTCCTCAACACGCCCATTCTTAATTGCTTTTTCGAACAATTTAAATTGTGCCTCGAGAGATACTGGATGGGTGGGCTCGAGAAAAGAGGGAGGGAGGGAGGGAAGAGAGAATTTTTCCTCTCCGTCCCTTTTTTCCTCTGATCTCGCCACGGATAATGGAGTTTCGCGTAAGAACGTTCTGTGAGCAGCAACGCTGATAAGGTGGCCGCTTTTAAACGTTTCGGACAATAGCCTCGCGTGCGACTTCGGACATTTCAACATGGCGGCGGAGTGAAACGCTCTCTACGTAATTAAACCGTGATCCTTTGTCTCGATAGAACGATTAATTTAACATGTCTGCCGCATTAAGGGAGCTAGATAACGCTAGATAAACCGGTGGGAATTACGACTGATTCTTTATTTTTATTCGGAGCCGATAAATACCTGTTTCTTTTTTAAAAGTCGCGCCATTTTTCGTTCTCGATTCCCGATTCAATACTAGTCGATTATGATTACGACTCGAAATTCGTCAGATTCAATATGAATTGAATTGAATTTACGTTGATTGAAACAATTGCAATTTTTCTCCTTAAATAAATTTGTGTAAGCGACAAGCTGATGATCAGATAAATAAAATGATAGCAATCAGACAAGTTAATTAACTTTTTCAATATTTGCAATCCTTTTTTTTCGTTTGTTAAATATAATACTCGCGACGAATTTTCTTAATCTGGAACTTGTTTTTGTCGTTTATATCACAAGTAGCACAGATCAATCATTCATCAAACGTTCAAGCAATGGTAACAAGACGCTTGAAAAAGTGATGCAAGTCTGACACTTGTCGGACAAGTAGAACAAAATATCGTCCTCTCTAATTATAGCATAATTTATCAATATATTTACTCAATTTACTACTTTTACTTTCAATCTCACAAATATACACGTATGAAGCGAACTCGAATTCCAATTCAATATTCGAAAAATGTACTTCCCCTCTCCCTCACGTCCCCCTTCTCGCACACATTCACCTCTTCAGATTGATCCCTCGTAATCTTTCACCATCGAGAAATATGGGCAAAGAAAAACACCCGTATGTTAAAAATACCCCTGGGATGATGAGGGTGTGTCCTTCTCTCTCTCTCTCTCTCTCCGTAAAAATTTTTCGTCTCGAGCGGAAAATAAGGGTTTCTGTTTTCCGAGCAGCGATTCGAGGGTCTCGGTTTACCCGATCGGGGGGTTACGCAATCCGTATTTAGATGAAATCTTGAGATTTTGAGACGTTAAAGGGGTCGAGGAGGAAAGAAAAGGGCGGCGCAAAGTTGCCGGCGTATTTTCCAATCCCTTATTGGCCGGGGCAACCTTGTCCCCGTGGTTATCGAGGATTTATCTGGCGGATGCTCGCGACCCATCGATTCCTTTTCCTTGCGGGGGTTAAATCGAGCGTCCCTCGCGGCTGCTGTCAACTCACCCTTCTCCCAATCCTATGACCTTTATTTTATCGCAAAGCATTTTTCTCCTGGCACCGTCACGCGCCCTTCATGGAAAATAGATATTATTAGAAATTTTTATTCCTCGTTGCTTAATCGTCTCACGTTACGGATTTATCGATCGCGATATAATATCTAAGCTTGGCTTTTGTTCAAAATAATTAAAAAATGGATGTGCATAAAAGATGTAAATGAAATACTTTGAAAAAGAAATATTGTCAATATGCGTGTGTATATATTCGATGTGTAATTTAAAACAGGTGTTTTAAAACATTTACAACGAACGAATGTTTATATACATTCAACCACGCAATTGATTCGAATAGGTAATTGAATTTTCCACGAGTTATTTCGTTATTTCATCAATAGAAGAATTTATTTTGACGGGAAATAACGTTTCGAGCGAAAATGTTCAGGTATTCTTAAGAATTTCTTATTGGTCTGATTTATCTTCGTTTGAAATATTTTTCAGGGATAACGCGAATATTTCAAGTTACGGGAAAATTGAAGTATGGCTCGCAGCAATTTTATTCCTATTCAACGAGTAATCGCACTCGATCGAAGGATTCGAAGTAAAATTTATTTCAATAATCGACGCGCAACGATTTCCATTAACTTTCGTGGCTTACAATCGATTTGAAAAATGCATTTTAAGTTTAACGCGTATGGTATTTCATTCAAAAATTGTTTCGAGTAAAATTATTCATTTGATAACTGTTGAAAATATCTAGCAAAATTTATAATACTTATTACTACTAGTATTATGAATATATTCAACTGTTATGAAATATGCGAATATATTCAACTGTTATGGAATTATCGTGTAGTTATTTTTTATTTACACGTTTCTCAATTTGTTCAATTTTGAAACGCTGAAATTAATAGTAACGCGCAATGAAATTACAAGTTTATAAAATCGAAGCAATCATGTTAAACTTGTAAAATTAACTTCAATTTTCTTTTAATTAAAACATTAATAACCATTGTATTACCGATTCAATCGAAAGAGTAATTATTTCATTTATTAACGATTTATTAAATCAATCATAACCCTTGATTAGAACTTGATTATACCTATCAATAATTAATTAATAATTATTTAATAATCAATAATCATGATTAACGATTTGATTCTGCATTAATTATCAATCATTAATCATTTTATGGAAAAATCAACTTTATTGCATTTTCTAAATTTTTATACATTTCAATCTTCCAATAATAAATAATAACACGTATATCTTTTTCACTTGAACAAATAATCAATTGACGATTATTCGTTCATATAAACGAAATTCCATTGCATTACACAATTACGTAAACACACACACAAACCTTTATCAAATTCACTTGAAAAAATTCCTTCTTTACATTCAAGCTCCTCACTTACAGGAGGAACAAAAGCACCGTCTTCCACCGTATCCTGCGTTACACAGACGCATCCAACGCTTGGACAAAATTCCTTTACCCTATTCTCACCCCCATAAAAGAGGCGTCCAAGTCGAAAACACACCTGAGAGTGTCGCGGCCCCGAATGGAAGTGGAACAGGTTGATATAGTATCGCCTTCCACCATGATACAGTCCACACACAGGAGTGGAGGAGTTACGAGCCTTTGGGGGTTGATAATTCCATCCGTCGGCGCACAATGCTCAGACGACGGATACTGTGTTGGGTGATACGTGCTGGCCCGCAGGCCGCAACGCCCTTCGAGTTACCTGTATGAGTGAAATTGCCCCTGAAATTTATGTTCCTATTGGGGGATGATCGTTTCCCTTCGTCAGAACTCCCGCAGTTTGAAAGCTTCTCTATACACCCACCCCCGCGAATTCTGACTGGCGATTTGATCTATCGCCTTTTCCTTTTTTTCTTTCGCGAGGAAGAGGAGTGAAAACTTGATTCTCAGTTGCAGTTGGAATTTTCTCTCGATGAATCGAGGCCCTCGAATATTGGGGGGGAGGGGGAAGATATGGCGTTGGAGAAATGGGAATGTTGTAGGGAAATCTAATTTTTAAGCTGCTCGCAGATGCCTCGAGTAGGCGATGCGAATATGTTCGAATATTGTGGAAAATATAGAGGTGGATTGAGAAAGCTCTATTCCGGGAGAAGGGTTGTTGAATTGAGAGTCAAAGAAAATATGGAAATATTGGATTTTATACGTGTATTTATATTTTTCCACTCTTTTTCTAACTTTGGCTTTGGGGGATTTAACTTTGTTTAACTTTATCTGCTTTATTAAATTGTATCGCGTGTATTGAAAGCAGAGAAAATATTTCCTATCAACTTCGAGATTATGGTGGATAAGGAGAATTAT